CCAGCGCTGAATCAAAGCTTGCAGCATCGCTGTTCAGGACGCAAGCACTGTGTGTTGGGAAATGCACATTTTAATCTGGAAATTGCTTTTAAAGGTTCTCCTTTGTTTTCTTCTTTGTTTTAAATAATATTAATTGTGTTTTATGGAAGGCAAAAGAGATTGTCATTGTTCTGGAAAAAAATAATGATAATACAATTTCAATAAGGCTCAGGTTAAATGAATAAATAAATTAATAGATTAGATAGATAATGTTTAAAAAAAAAAAATAAATAATATATATATATATAATATTGTATATTAACAGGGGAAATTACTTTTAATTATGCAGGGGAAAATGTTTGTGTATGAATCACAGCAGTGCATAATTCATCCTATCATGAATAAATGTATCATTTCATCATCAGGATGAAAGAGTATGAATGCATGCATGAATCAAACTCATTCTGAACACCAACAATTGCTCAGGCTGTCAATGTGAACTTGTATTCCAGTTGTTTAAAATACATATATCTATATTTACAGATGGAAAAAGAGTGGTGGAGCTTCAAACATCGTTATTTTCCCACTTGTTTAGATGGGTTAAAGCTTCGTCTAGTTGTCTTGAGATGTTCTTGTTCCATCCAGAGGGACAAGAAAGGTCAGGTGTGAAGGAGGTCCGTTTCATATAATGCCAGCTAACATCCAATCATCATTAGATAGAGCAGTCTGCTCATGGTCACTGCTCCATTAGCTCTGATCCATCAGAAGTTCAGAGCAACAAATGCTTCCCTGCACCCCAAGGACAGTCTTTGTAACCTTTACACTTACATCTCACACCAAAGCTAATGCTCTATATGCATAGTGACAGGAGGTAACCAGCCACATCTCCCCAGAGGAGGAGAAGACAGAATAATTAAAGTGCTACAGATCAAGTTGCTGTCTTGGCTTCTCTAAAAGAACTGCATAGCGACTCTGCCAAAGTCACAGCCCAGAGAGAACAACTGGAACAATTCGGCACATCTCAGCTTTATACATGCTCCTTGTGAGGTTATGACGGGAAAATCCATCACGTCGCTCTGCAGCAAGATCAGACATTCCTCTCTCATGTTCAAACAAGACTGGAATACAAGAAAACTCAAAAGCATGGACAGACCTTTGGCTGCCGATGACCAAAGAAGGGCTTCGCCTAACAAGAGTTCGTCTCGCAAGTGTTTAAGACAAAGATAATGGCAAATGAGGTGGAAATGTTTTATTCTACTAAGTGTGCAAACCAAACAATGACTTTCAAGCTTAGGTGATGTCTTAAAGACATCCACAGTTTCATGAGATTCATCTTGCACAGTCCAATAAATTATTATCTAAATATTTTTGGGACTAACTTGGCCAAACGTCTACTTTTTCCCATTTTTTTTTTTGAAGGTAACACTTTATTTTGAAAGTAATGAGAGTTAATTGACATGTAGTTGCAAAGATACTTATAAGTTAGTAGAGTGTCTAAAGTGGACTATCAAAATAATAAAGTGTAGCTTTTTTAAAACCAAACACCATATGTGTATGAAATATGTGAGTAAATGATACAAATGGCCAATATTTACACAAAAAAATAAATAAAATAAATAAATAAACAAATACATACAATTAAAATAAAATAAAATTAAATTAAATTAAATTTTAAATTAAATGTTAAATTAAATAAAAAAATAAATTTGCTGGCAGGTCAGAATATGCAAGGCTTGATATATTATTCACATCAAAGAATAAGAAAATAAGGATGATAATCATTCCATATTTATACATTTCGGACCATGCCTTTCCTACTAATATAGTATTTTTCTGGAGATTTGGGTATTTCATTAATGAGAGCCACCTTCTGTGGCTCCTTCTTGTCTGTGCTTGGACTATCAAAATAATAAAGTGTAGCTTTTTTAAAACCAAACACCATATGTGTATGAAATATGTGAGTAAATGATACAAATGGCCAATATTACACAAAAAAATAAATAAAATAAATAAATAAACAAATACATACAATTAAAATAAAATAAAATAAAATTAAATTAAATTTTAAATTAAATGTTAAATTAAATAAAAAAATAAATTTGCTGGCATGTCAGAATATGCAAGGCTTGATATATTATTCACATCAAAGAATAAGAAAATAAGGATGATAATCATTCCATATTTATACATTTCGGACCATGCCTTTCCTACTAATATAGTATTTTTCTGGAGATTTGGGTATTTCATTAATGAGAGCCACCTTCTGTGGCTCCTTCTTGTCTGTGCTTTTAACTCCCATTAATATTTAATAAACCAGCTTTTGTCTAGGATAGGTGAATTGTGCAGAATAATAATTAGGTTCGTTAGAAACTCTTGCCCCTCACATGCTCTTGGATATTCCTATAGGTGGGTCGCCGATTTAAAGATCATCATCATCAGCATGCGAACACTCATGTTTGTTAGCAAGCGTTTTAATTAGAAACACTATTGGTTTATTATTCAGTCTAATGCCGATCTGTGCATGCTTTGGTTTTCAATTCTATTGTTCGCTGCAATGCCTTTTGAAGTGTCTCCAATGCTATTATAAATTCAAAGAAGAAACAATTAATGTTATACAAAGTTAATCCCACATGCAACAACACAGACTGCTAGCGGCGTTTCCCATTGAAGACGCAAGATTCCTCAATCGACTTACTAAATAGAATATATAGAATAAATCAGTATGCATTCTTGTATTGAATAGTAACTGACTCTCAGTTTGCTGTTGGCATGCATGATTCCTTACTGATTGCAATGGGACATATGAATCTTCAATGCCATTTTTTCATTTCCATTAAAAAAATTAAAATAAATAAAATATAAAAACCAATTCAAAAAGAAATACAAACCAGTTTCATCATCTGAACACTAGAGGAAGATACAGAAGCGTTTGATGCACTTCGGTGGAACTCAAAATTTATTCAACCAAATTAATTTCCACAAATGTCAACTCTTCTGATGTTAGCATTGCTTTATAACCACTTATTTATGTAAGCTGTAGGCAATAGGCTGCTGTATGTAATTTTGGGCACATCACAGATCACTAGCTGAGTCCGGTTCCAGTGACGCTTTGCCTACATTGATATATGTCAATATATTGCATAAGATAGAAATTTACTGCATCTCATTACTTTATTGGCTCGACCAACAAGAAAAGAAATGTGGGTGCCGTTATCCAGCTATCTGACTATTCAGGATCACATAATGATCTAAGGTGAGTCACCAACTCAACAAAACCCACTTTTATAACTGCTCTTTGGATTTTTGGATGCACATTGAGACTGACAGATTCTGCACTAGTTTGCACAAATAATCATGAATAAAAACACTCAACAATGGCTCTGTGTAAAGCAGGCCTCTCTGAATACACGCTGCTGTCAATTTCAGATCTCCAATTCAAATGCACGAGCGGTTATTTATCGCTCTCTGTGGATTTACATGCTGACAACTTAATCCTACAAATATGCTGTAGTGCAACCGGCACAGAGTCTGTCCCCACGTCAGCATTCAGGTCACCTTCATAAATCCTTCAAGACTGCCTAAGATAATCAAGTCTCTTGTGGGACTCTGAGAGGTGTGTTTTATTAAGTAGCATGGTCTCTGTAAGAGCTGAGTGAGTATGAATGCATCCAGATGGCAATGCATTTCCGCCTCAGGCCAACTGTATGACTGCACTCATAGATCCAATATTAACGCAAACACAATATATTTCACCCAACGGGAAAATAAACATTACATGGAATAAGAGTCATGCCGATGTAACAGGTTCAGGGCTATAGTTAACTAAAACTATAAAACAAAAAACGTTTTTAATGTTAATTGAAATAGAATAAAATATAAACAAAACTGAATTTATTTCAGACAGTTTCCGAAGAAACATTTCTCATTTTAGTGCAACTTTATGTATTAAAATAAATAACATTTAAATAAAAATTATTAAACATTATTAGACATATTTTAAAAACTAATAAAAATGGCAAGACACAAACAAGAAAGAAAGAAATGGAACAATAAAATACTACGCTGTAAAAAAGATTGCAAATAAAGATGATGAAGTATGTTTTACAAGAAAATACCGTAAAAATGATTGAAGTACATTTCACAATTACAAGAAAATACTACACCGCAAAAATTATTTTTCGAAGATATAATATATAATATATATATTCAGTGTATTTCAGTCTTTATACTTCAAAATGTTTACATTTCATTCAATGCTACTTGTCATTTCTTTGCAATTCTATGTAAAATAACAATTAATGCAGTAATTTCTACAATATAAGTTATTTCTACAATATTCAAACTATACTAAAAAAATAATAAAAAACCTCCAATTACACTAAAATCTCAGTTATACTAAAACAACGGGTGATTGCTCTCATTTCCCAGCAGTCAGAAGTAAAATCCAGACCATCAGCCATCCACAAGAGACCATCAGCATAGGCAATTATGTAGAGATAATTAGGAACTTTTGTTTACTGGGTTGGAGGTTGTGATTATTAGTTGCAATTTGCTTTAGCCATCAGCCAGTTTTCTAAGTTCAGCCTTCATTCATCAGTGATTTAATGTTCTTAAGAGGCAGGAACACGACCATCAAATGTTAGACTCATAATGCAATTAATAAAATGTGAAGATGGAGAGTTTCGTTTCCAGGCCTTGTTATATGGCATCACGATAATTTCTTAACACGGACGAGAGAGCTGGCATGATCTGGTCACTTCATTATCGAGGGCATCCAGACTCCGCGCTGTTATGCATGATTAGCACGTGAAGAACTTCAGCTTATGTTAATGTGCTTTGAGGCTTGATGTATGCTTGCATCGACATTCACATTAATGCATGCATTTAGCAGACACTCCAAAATGAATTACAAATGCGGAATGCAACAACATAAGTGATTCAACCTTAATGAAAAATAATAATGCTGAAAAACAAACCAGATATTTACCTGTTCCTTGCACTCAGGGAACAGGCAATGTTGAGGGATACCTGGGGTCCTCGAAGCACCTGTTAGCAGTTTGGCTAGTGGTTTCAAGGTATGCACATATTTATTTAATAGCAAGTCAAAGATTATGAATGCTTTCCCCTTTATATAGTGGTATAATGTTTAGCTGTGTTTTGCATTCTTATTAATGAAGCAGAAGTCTGGTGTGTTTGATTGCACACATTATGTTGCTTTATTTCTGTACTGATGTGGTTTGATTGCGCTCCACATGCTTCCTGCACTCCAAACTATTGCTGATGGGTGATGGTTTATAATGATATCAAATGTCTGCAGCATTTGAATAAAATGCTGCTGCCATGGTCCATAGCTTATTATTTGGCGAATGTATTTTACTATTCACAATTGGATTTTATTTTTTTATTTTTTTTTATCTTTAATTTATTTAAAGCATACTGAGGATGCTAATATGAATTTTACTTGCACTTTTTTTTTGTCAGATTGATGCCTTATATACTGTGTTTCTAATATGCAATACTTGACGTTGATTTGTTTACCTCAATGTAACCGTTTATCCTGGTATGATAGGATTTCTACAGGTCTAGTACACACTTGTTGCAAACCCATTAACTCCATACTGGTCAATAGTCTGCTAATAAGTTTCTTCAAACCAGTTATAGTCCAATGCCGAGTGTCACATGTGTTGTGTTGTTTGACCATTTGCCAGGTTTTTACCTTGTTGTTGTTGGCATGATTTGTTACTTATTTTCTTGTGATATAGGTGTTTGTTCCTACTTTTAAAATCAGATTTTAAGTCATGGCACTAAGATGCACTTAAAGGAATTATACTGTATGTAAATGAAGTCAACTTAAGTTCTTGCAAATTAAGATCATGCCTTAATTTGTAAAAGTTCCACAAACACGTTGTATAGTGAATGAATATTTGTACATTGCTTAGACAATAGTTTTCTGATTTCAATAAATCTTTTAAGAATATACTGAAAGATCCAGACTCTTTTATATATATATTTTAATTTAATTTAATTTAATTTCATTAATTATATTTTATTTTTTATTTTATTTTATATTATTTATATTATATTATTATATTATATTATATTATATTATATTATAAAATAATATAATATAATATTTTATTTTATTTTATTTTATTTTATTTTATTTCATTATGCAACACAGCACATGCAAGCTGAAAACATCTGTTTTATATGTGCTACATTGCATAATGAAAAAAATAAAACATGTACTGAACTCAGAAAACTATTGTCTGAACAATGCAGAATTATTTTCACGGCCAGTCAATCAATCAATTTTTATGGATATATGCACCCTAAGTTGGTAGAGCACAAGAATTTCACCTTTTTTATTTAATTTATGAATTTATAACTGAGAGAGATGAATTAAGAGTTTAACCCACCAAGAAAGTGCAGGGTTATTATATTAAACTAAACCTGAAACAATAATAAAAAAAGATACTTGAAATAAAACAACAATTACCTGAAATGAATCATTAAACAAAACAAAAAACAACAACTTTTCAGCTAGTTGTCAAGGAAACCTATTCTTTTCATTTCATTTAAAGGGATACTCCACCCCAAAATTAAAATGTTGTCATTAATCACTTACCCCCATGTCGTTCTATTAAAGCCATCTTAATTTTGCCTTAATTGTCTTTTTGAATATAAAACAACAATTACCTGAAATGAATTATTAAACAAAACAAAAAACAACAACTTTTCAGCTAGTTGTCAAGGAAACCTATTCTTTTCATTTCATTTAAAGGGATACTCCGCCCCAAAATTAAAATGTTGTCATTAATCACTTACCCCCATGTCATTCCAAACCCGTAAAAGCTTCATTCGTCTTCAGAACAAAATTGAAGATATTTTGGATGAAAACCGGGAGGCTTGTGACTGTCCCATTGACTGCCAAGTAAATGACACTGTCAAGGTCCAGAAAAGTATGAAAGGCATCGTCAGAATAGTCCATCTGCCATCAGTGGTTCAATCTGAATTTTATAAAGTGACGAGAATACTTTTTGTACCGAAGAAAACAAAAATAACTACTTTATTCAACAATTCGTCTCCTCTGTACCGAAGAAAACAAAAATAACGACTTTATTCAACAATTCGTCTCCTCTGTGTCTCTCCGCATCACCGTAGCGCCATTTTGGAGAATATCCGCTGAACACACGGCGCTACGGTGATGTGATGCTGCTCCGGAAATCAGGCGGGATTACTCTTAAATTCATAGAGCTCCATCTGGATTAGCTGTCTAAATATCCCGCTCTGAGTGTTTGGTCTTCAGCAGCCTGAGCCAAATTAATTTCCCATTATTCTATTTTCAAAGGCATGAGTTTAAATATAATTCAGAGAGGTTTAGTTTATGAACGGTGGTCAGTGAAGTGCTTAGCCAAGGTACTGAATGAATGCATTGCGATTGTTCTGGGAAAGGGCCAGACAGCGCAGTAAAGCAGTGTGGGCTCATGCGTGCCGTAAGTAAGGAGTTTTAGGAAATAAAACACTGCAATTTCTTCCCAGCTGTGAAGATTAGCTTCAAACACTGATTTCTATGCAGACTAGCCTTAGGAATGCAAATTTGAGAAGAACATCATGTTGTGACCATATATACATAAATCCTCTAAAAATGCTTTTCAATTACTTTTCAAGTGTGAGATGTGGATAATGAAAGCACTGTTCATTAACAGAACTGTTATATTGTTTGAATATATTCCTTCACATGTAAACAACTTTTAAGAAAAGCCGCAGCAGGGATGGACTCGATACAGAGGAACGCACTGTTATGATCAGGTATGAGAGCACAGTTTGACGTTTTTCATGTTTTTCTGCACGTTTGCTTGAGCTGAATTTGCAATTTACAAATATTTAACCCTGCAAAGCCTACACTTATGAAATAATAGTCAGAAACTGGAACAGTTTATTGAACCTTAACACATAAGTATGCATATCTGTGTTTTTTATTGAGCATCATATTTGATCAATCAGGCTTTTATGGCTCATTTATTATGATATAGTGAGAATATGGCAGAAAGAAACGACTCAAACTGAGTAAAAATATACAACTTGCTGCAGATGCTGATATTTGTATGATGAAATTCTGATGCTTGTAATGTAAATCAGTGAACAGTAGAGCAGATACTGACATAAAATGATCTAAATATCAGTCATCACTCTATGTCTCCAATAATATGTCTTAGTAAGATGAGATTGAAATGATCCAGACATATAATGCTAATAACTAATAAACGTGTGAGATGTGCTGGAGGCTTGTGAAGATCATTCCACCACTGAGGAACAGTGAAAGTAAAGCTTCTGGAAACAAACGCTCCTCAAAAGATCCTGAGGATCATATTTGAGACGCACTGATTTTTCTAAAAAATGATTCACTGATAATCAAGTAAAGCTGAGCAGCTTCAGTCCAGTAAGTGTTCATCTGGAAATATGACTGCAGTTATTCTGACGTTTACTTGAGAAAAATCAGTCATTTGACACACGAAGCACCAGCTGAAGGTGGACATTTGTACGATTTTACTAAAAGAGCTTTTACATGCAAACTCTCAATTAGAGACAGAATTCATGTAATAGATTGTGTGACAGGATTAACTATAAGGTTTGATCATGCTGATCATTTAGAGACCTTCAAATTCATACACTCTAAAAAATGTTGGGTTAAATATAACCCAGTGCTGGGTTAAAAAGGGACACACCCAGCTATTGGGTTGTTTTGAACCCAACCGCCGGGTCAAAACAATCCGACCGCTGGGTCAAAACAACCCAACCGCTGGGTCAAAACAATCCGACCGCCGGGTCAAAACAACCCAACCGCCGGGTCGAAACAATCCGACTGCTGGGTCAAAACAATCCGACCGCTGGGTCAAAACAACCCGACCGCTGGGTCAAAACAACCCAACCGCTGGGTCAAAACAACCCGACTGCTGGGTCAAAACAACCCGACCGCCGGGTCAAAACAATCCGACTGCTGGGTCAAAACAACCCAATAGCTGGGTTTGTCCCTTTTTAACCCAGCGTTGGGTTATATTTAACCCAGCATTTTTTTGAGTGTATTATTTAAATACTCACTATGTGTTTGCTTCTATGTTTATGTGTGTTATGGCACTCCTAAGACTGTAATTAAAGTGTCATGTGTGATGTAGGTCAGGTGTATGGAGTGTTATGAGTGTTTTTCATCATACAGCGGTGCCTCGAGTGCAGCTTCTCTTTTTTTTCTCTTAAACTGTCATCTGTCCTCTCTCTGTGTTTTGTGAGGCACAAGCTCACAAAGTAAACACAAATTATGTCCCCCACCTTTTGGTTAATTAAACACAGAAATAAATCCTGCTTTATTTGTGGCTCAAAGGGTGTGCGGCATTTGTAAAATTTTGACAGGAATGAATGCAAACAATGTCACGGTTTTTCATGATTAAATTATTTTTACCTCATTCGAACCTTTAAAGTACTTAATATTACTAAATTATCAATCTAAGTTATGACCCCCTTACTGAAGTAAACAATGCTTCTGAATTCATTATCCAAAATTCCCAAAAGAACCAAGTAAGAGTTCAATCAAACATGAGCAGGTCTCAAAGCCAACAGCAACTCTTACCTACATCACATCAGCTCTGTTTTCTGCAGGCATTTCTGTGCTGTAAGAGCACACAAGCACCTGCAAACATGATAAATTGACTCATATTTTCTCATAGCAGTGTTTTTATATAGATATATCTACTTGACTGGTTACTCATAAAGACATGAAAACACTCACCCCTGATGCTCCTTATTCAGTCGGCTGGATCACTGAATCAGTGAGTTGAGTTTGATAATTGGATCAGATCATGAATGAATCATTCAAAGCAGTTCTGTTGACTGAATCATTGATGCAAAAGAACGATTTGTTCACAAATTGAGTAGATTTCCAAGAGCTTCTGAAGAGTCGCATGGCCACTCTTATAATAATGTAATGCTATTTGATGTCCTTTTAAAGCTTGAAAGCTACCATCCATTGAAATTGCCCCAAATCTGATGAAGAAACAAACTCATACTAATCTTGGGTGGCCTGAGGGTGATTAAACTTTCAGCAAATATTTGTGTTTTTGGGTAAAATATTATTTTAATGTCTTTCTTGAATTAGAATGTCTCTCTTTCTTTCCACTTGACAGATAAATTAGATATTAGATATTCTACATACCTAGATAACGTCTGATCTTTTGCACAATAGAGTTTTATTCTTATTCCAGCGCTCACCTTTTCATGTTCAACACCTAACAAGATTGCTTAGCGTTTACCGTTGAGTGCATGGGAAAGTTTAATCTTCCTTAATTTGGTGACAAAAGTCGAAATGAAATTGCAGTTGCTAAATTCTGATGAGTAATGGAGCAAGTAATGAAATGACTCTGGAAAACAATTCACACTCACTTGATATGCGGCTTCTTCTGGTAAAGATAATTAATATGTTGCTCTCCTGTGGGTGACATCTGAGGCACACTTGAATGGGTGCCGCAATAGTGCATAGTTCAAGCACTGTGCACCATGCTGAAATACAGCCCTGGAGAAATACACACACATACTGTACAAGGTCTCTGTGTCTCTGAGAGCGCTCAATAGTTTGTGAATCGATACAAAGCAGATGGCTTGGAGGACAAATATATGAATGTAGATTCTGATTGACAGCCAGCAGCCTTATAGTGATTTTACCGGTGTAAGAGTGTTGCAATCTCAAATACAGTGACTGATGGGTAGAAACAGTGATAATACACTCAAAACCAGATGCACACTGCATTGACGATGCTTATGTCGAATAAAATAAAATAAAATAAAATAAAATAAAATAAAATTTGTATTTTATTGTATTGTATTGTATTGTATTGTATTGTATTGTATTACGGTAAAGAGAAAGTTACATGTTGAATTTCATCATGAATAGCTTTTCTAGAAGCCGAGGTAAAAACTAATGTACAGAAAATGGTGTCACACACATATACAAAACACATATGACACTAAAATAATACACTAAACATTAACTTTCATTCATTAAAAATTATAAGATGATTTTTCGTTCACAAAAACTGTACATTTAACAATATTGGAAAATATTATGGAAAAGCTCTACTGCACATTCAATACAAAACTGTGCTATTGTTTAAATGCATGTCCAGATTGCACAGGTCTAGCGTTTCAAGCGACGTCTGAGGACGAGAGATGTCCGAGCGAATGTCAAAGGGATATTTAGATGGACAGCTCATGGAAGAGGAGCAGATGAGCCCGTGTTTATAGCCACTGTGCTGGAAAAGACCATTACCCAGACCTTCCTCTGCAGCTTCTGCTGGAGACATGTGCACGCCTTATTTAACAGTTCAATCAAGGCCCATCTTAGAGCTTAATAGAGCAGAAATACCAAAAGCCAACAGTTGTTATGGAGTTGCATTACCTGTCTGACCTTTCGGCTATATATCATAATAGAGACCGCTGGCATTCCTCCAGTCTCTCCACAGCATTTTAAAGTCTGAAGTGTATGCTCCTCACACCAGCTGTCTGTTATTATCATCATTATAATTATTGCTATTATTCAAAATTAAATGCTAGTCTTGTAACCGATGATTCTGTTAATTAGTGGTGTTTGATAAGCAAGCGTCACAGTAGCTATCACTCATACTTTAGTCATATTTTGTTCACAAATCAATTACTATAAGCGTTACTTCTTGTCATCCCGCAGTCTTTATTCTAAAGATGTGAATGATACCTCAAATCATGCAGCTTGTTGAGTAGATTATTACTTTTCTAATTCATCAGACTTAAAAAAACAAAAGAAGCCATTTGCAGGGAGCTACATTGGGTTTGTAGAAATGTAGTTTGGTTTGTGCTTTGGAGGAGCAGAAGTTCGTTATGTGCGTCATGTAAGCTAAAATTAAATGCATAAATTATAAGTAAATTTTGTAGTTGTTAATGCTGTGCTTGTTTTATAGTCTGTTCTTTATCAGGGAAGAGAAAATTAGGACATTCGGCTGAATTTGTGCATCATCAGCAAATGCTGTGCTTGTTTTATAGTCTGTTCTTTATCAGGGAAGAGAACATTAGGACATTCGGCTGAATTTGTGCATCATCAGCATTTGATGGTAACAGAAAGTAATATTAATCTTAAATATATAAACAAATTCACGCATCCCAAATATATATAAATAATAACTACATCAATTAAAATCACTGTTCTAAAATAGCTGTGCAGATAAGAAGCCAGACTAGCTTTCACTAGCAACATCTCTTGATATGCTTGCACATGCATACATTATACTCACTCACTCACTCACTCACTCACTCACTCACTCACTCAGACACTCACTCACTCACTCACTCACTCACTCACTCACTCACTCACTCACTCACTCACTCACTCACACAGACACTCACTCACACACAGACACTCACTCACTCACTCACTCACTCACACTCACTCACACACACACACACACTCACCCACACACACACTCACTCATTCACTCACTCACTCACTCACTCACTCACTCACTCAGACACTCACTCACTCACTCACTCACTCACTCACTCAGACACTCACTCACTCACTCACTCACTCACTCACTCAGACACTCACTCACTCACTCACTCACTCACTCACTCAGACACTCACTCACTCACTCACTCACTCACTCACTCAGACACTCACTCACTCACTCACTCACTCACTCACTCAGACACTCACTCACTCACTCACTCACTCACTCACTCAGACACTCACTCACTCACTCACTCACTCACTCACTCAGACACTCACTCACTCA